CGAAAACTCAAACGAAAACCAAACCTCCCTCCATCTCCGCCTTTCGCGCTTCCGATCATCGGTCACCTCCGCCTTCTCAAACCGCCGCTTCACCGTGTTTTCCTCTCAGTCTCTCGATCTCTAAACAGTGCTCCGATATTCTCACTCCGACTCGGAAACCGACTCGTTTTCGTCGTCTCTTCACACACAATCGCTGAAGAATGCTTCACGAAAAACGACGTCGTATTAGCAAACCGACCAAACTCAATAGCTGCAAAACACATCTCTTATGGTTACACAACTATGGCCACAGCTTCTTATAGTGAACACTGGAGAAATCTCCGACGTATCGGAGCCGTCGAGATTTTCTCTGCTCATCGGCTTAATAGCTTTTCCTCTGTTCGCCGTGACGAGATCCGGCGACTTATAGTTCGTCTCTCAACAACTTCTTCAGACGTATGTGAGCTAACTCACTCAGATTTTCGTTTTTTTTTTTTACAGTATATCCGCCAAAAAAACTAAATTTGAAAGAGAATTTAGACGTTAAATTACTAATTTTGGAAAAATATAAATAGACGTTAATTTCTACTTTGGGAAAATTTATGCTTATGTTTCTGGAAATGTGTCAATAATTGTGTTTGTTTTGAACCTTTTTTTCCTATAATAATCAGAAATTGTGTTTGAGCAAAGACTAATTAAGTGTTGTTTTCTGGATTTGTATCAATGGTTTAATAGATGATAGATAATAAAATTTTAGCAGGAATTTGCTAAGGTGGAGATGAGATCAATGTTATCTCACATAACATTCAACAACATCATCAGAATGGTGGCTGGAAAACGTTACTATGGAAACGGTGCAGAGGATGACGACTCAGAGGCCAAAAAGCAGCTTATCGCGGAGGCAATGAGTAGTTTAAGCGCAGGAAACGTGGTTGATTATTTACCGTTCTTACGTTGGGTCACAAATTTCGAGAAACGGATCAAGAAGCTAGCCGGTAGGCTTGATGAGTTCTTTCAAGGACTAGTCGATGAAAAACGAGCAGCGAAAGAGAAAGGGAACACGATGATCGATCACTTGCTTTCTCTCCAAGAATCCCAACCCGAGTACTACACAGACCGCATCATCAAAGGAACCATACTCGTAAGAACTTACCGAGACGAGCATTTTAAGTTCATAGTTAATTTCTGTCACATTGAAATGGTCATAATTGTAATGTGTAGTCTTTGATACTGGCGGGGACCGATACATCAGCGCTAACATTGGAATGGGCATTGTCGAGTTTGTTGAACCATCCAGAGATAATGAACAAGGCGAGAGACGAAATCGATAGTAAAGTTGGTTCAAAAAGGCTTGTGGAAGAATCAGACATCTCAAATCTGCCTTATCTTCAGAACATTGTGTCTGAAACGTTACGTCTATACCCTGTAGGGCCTTTGATGGTCCCTCATGTCGCGTCGGAAGACTGTAAAGTAGGGGGCTACGATATGCCACGAGGTACGACATTATTGGTGAATGTGTGGGCTATACATAAAGATCCTCGGCTATGGGATGATCCCACGATTTTCAAGCCAGAGAGGTTCGAGAAAGAAGGGGAGGCTCATAAGCTAATGGCGTTCGGGTTAGGGAGAAGAGCATGTCCTGGTTCCGGACTGGCTCAACGGCTAGTGAGCTTGACTCTAGGGTCTTTGATTCAATGTTTTGAATGGAAGAGAATTGGAGAAGAAGAGGTGGATATGAGTGAAGGTGGAGGAGTCACAATGCCTAAAGCCAAACCGTTGGTCGCCATGTGCAGAGCACGTGCCTCTCTTGGTGAAATTCTTCACGAGTCCACTTGAGTTTTAAGACGTTTTAGTGTGTCTTTTAAGTGTATGTTGAAGTTATTTCTATCTAAAACAAGGACAAAAAACAACTTAGTGATTTCTCAAACGTTGATAATTGTGAAGAGTTATAGATTGTAGTGTTCAATCTACATTCAAAATCTATATATATGTATTAGCTAACCACACTTTCATTTTTCATACATTTCCGGTATCACGAATGTCTTATTAGATGCTGGACATAAACATCAACAACATTTTTTTGTTTGTCGATGCTTTTTTAACGGATGCAACAAGATTGTAAAGTGGGAGGATACGATATGCCGCGTGGCACGATACTATTAACCAACATGTGGGCTATACATAGACATCTTCAGCGATGGGATGATCCAACGAGTTTCAAGCCAGAGAGGTTTGAGAAAGAAGGAAAGGCTCATAAGTTAATGCCGTTTGGGTTGGGAAGAAGGGCGGCTTGTCCTGGTACCGGACATGGCTCAACGGCTAATAAGCGTGACTATTGGGTCATTGATTCAGTATTTTGAATGGGAAAGAGTTGGATAAGAAGACTCTGTGGTAAATGTCACAATATTGGAGTTATTAGTACTATGTTTTGGTTTTCTTTTGCGTGTTAGTTGTTGCGCGTTTCTAGTCGTACTCACCTCCGATTGATATATAAACTTATACGTAAAAAGTTACTTATTGAATAAACCGGCATAAAACTAAAAAATAATGGTAGTGGCATATATGATGAGATAACTTCACCAATTATAGTGGCATATTTTAATTATAATTTTGTTTGACGAAAAAAACAAAAGATTATTTGATGGGATCATTATCTTGTTCGTTTATATGTTCTGAAAAAAATTACATATTATATGGTTTCCTTGTAAAACCGTCATGTTATTAATTGTAGTGGTATATTTTAGTTATAGTTTTGGTTGACGAAGAAAACAAAAGATTATATTATGGGATCATTATCTTGTTCATTTATATGTTCTGTTGGTTTCCTTGTAAAACCCGCCATGTTATTTATTGTTATCAACACCACATGCATTTATCATCCCCAAAACAACAATACTC